CTCAGGCCGCATGGGCAGAGCTGCATGGGAGGCAGCATAGAAAGGACAGACGCACACTTCCCCGACTGCTGCTGGGCACAGAGAATGCAAGGCCACCCTCCCTCTCATGCTGCGCTTTGCTCACTCCGGTACTAAATGCCACAAGCCGTGGGGCTTGCTCCCCTTCCCTGGGGGAGGCTGCCGAGGCCTCATACATGTCGTGCTCTTGAGGCTTTCCCTGATGTTCAACCTCATCTTTTCCTACCTCAGTTCCATGGCACTCCTCCTCCTCCTCCTCCCTCCTCCTCCTCCTCGCAGCGGACACATGCTCTGGCTAATTCAAACGTGATTGCTGGGCCCACGAGTCCAGGGCTGTTCCTTCTTGGAAACCGTGTAATGCTTGAGCTTTCCCAGCTCCCAATGCATCTCAAACATCCCCGTCATGCCCAGACACCGGGATATTTCCCAGAAGCTTTACTTCAGCTTTGACCGTACATCCCAAATTCACACGATAGCATGTCGAGTAATTGCATAAGGCAGCTGTATGGGCCCGCTGAATGAGCCACGTAACTAAGACAACAGACCACCGAAACACACGTTCGGAGGCAGGAAGACTGATTCTCCAGCTCTTCGGCCAGGGCAAAATCCATCTGTGGGAAGCAGATGGCACCTAGCACTTGGGTTAGCCAGGCAGTGGGTGGAGAACGAAATTGTCTGCTCCATTTGCTACCCCCTTGTTTGACATGATGACTTTCCTTTCCTTCCTTCGTGTTCATGCTTGGCCCCGGTGTCGCTAGCTGGTGCCCGCGGCCAGGCTCATCCTGGAGTCAGCAGCCGTGCTTGCCGAGGGGCAGAGGGGATCTGGTCCACAAGAGACTTGGTCTCATCCATTGGACCATCCTGGGAACGAGGTGCTAATACCGGGACCTTGTGTCCCAGGGGCAGTCACAGCAGAGCTGGTAGAGGGCCATTCCACCATCCTCATCCAATCCCTCCATGAGCACAGCCTAACGAGCACCTGGTGCCATGCTGACTGGCACGCTCAGGTCTGATACGCTATCTGATTTCACCTTCAAGTCTCCTTTAGTGTTGCTGTTTCCCAGGAGACGTAACTCCCAAGCTCTGTCGCTGACTTTGTGCTGTGACTCCAGGCGCATCCCATCCTTCCCCAGGATCCCCACGTATAATAGCTATCTGCTGCCACCCTAGTCCCAACCCAGGGTCAACTCTCCCCAGCTCTACCTGGACATCAAGCCTTACCCAGCTGAGGCATCAAAACAAGCGTCTGCTCACAAGAGACTGAGCAGCTTTGCATAACATGATCATCCCTCTCCTTCTTACACGTTCGGGTTGAAGAAACACTTAATGATTCATAGATTCATAGACTGTAGAGTTGGAAGGGACCCAATGGATCATCGTGTCGGACCCTCTGCCCCGGCAGGAAAGAGGACCGAGGTCAGACGACCCCAGCCAGGTGACTGAAGACCTCCATGTTAGGTGACGGCACCACCTCTCTTAGAAGCCCATTCCAGACTCTGGCCACCCTTATTGTAAAAAATTTCTTCCTAATGTCTAACCTACATCTACTCTCCACTAGTTTGCACCCATTATTCCTAGTTACTCCCTAGGGCGCATCCCCAATTCCCTGCTGTCCTCCCCTGATAAATGTCATCTATAATGACATTCAAATGCCCATCACATGGCTGCAGAACAAACAGGACAGGCTGTGCGTGAATCTACTTTTCAGAGCTGTTGCAAGCTCTACGCAAACCAAGATGGACGTCACTACATTGGGTACCCTCCGTTCACATGAGGCACGGTTTTCTTTGCCACAATCAGGGCTAGAGTGAGGACTGTTTGTAAAGGGAGTGCAGATTCAGGAGCTCTGCTGAGCCAGGCATCTGGAGCCCAATCCCCAGAACCAGGCTGCTGCTCTGGCCTGGGGACTCACCTGGGACAGCGAAAGCGTAAGTGTGCGCTCCAGACTGTGCTGTCATTTTAAGATGTGGACAAACACCCAGACTGAAATGACCAGCCTTGTCTCAGTTTCAGCAAGTAACGCTGCTTTTCATTGGGTCTGGAGGCTTGATCCGAGAAAGCACATGGCCAGGCTGGCTTTTCTTCTCTGAAGCCAAAAATGGGACATTTCGACTCCCCACTAAACAAGCCAACTGATTAAGCAACATGAGGGGTGGTGAATGTCGGCAAGTGAAAGTACTTGGGGGCAGGCTCTAGGGAAAAGGCCTCCCATGCCTCTTTAGATGAGCCTGTCTCTATAATGCTGCTAGGAAGAAAATGATCCAGTTGCGGGCTCTTCCTTTGCTATAATATTGTACTGTGCTGTAATTTCCTGTGAGCTTGAAACCCATGTGGGCACTGAGGCTGGGGAATGAAGGACAGGCACGTCGCATGCACAGCCTCGACTTCCAAGTACCCGTTCTCCCTCGCCAGGTAGGTTTGTGGCTGGGGCCATTCTGAGTTTCTGGTCTGAAACCAAGGGCTGGGTTATCAGCTGCAGGGTCGAGCCAGCCCTTTGCTCCGTCGAGGAGGGGGCGTCTGGGGTCCCGTACAAGGTTGATCAAGTGTGTTCTCTCTTCACCTGTGCTTTGGAAATAAAGCTTCCCGATGTGTTACCAAAACCCACCGACTCATCCGCAGTCACATGTTCTCTCCCTGTTACACTGCATGCTCCAAACCTTGTATTTAGCCTTATCCACAAGGCAAGGAAATGCTATATTTATAGCCCTGTTTCAGGCTCCAGTAAGGGAGCTCACTCAGGGCAGTTTACCAAAGGGCATTAATTACAAGCCAAGGTGTTCACTCCTCTGTAGCTGGGACAATAGGACAGCGTTTGACTCATAGCCCAGTCCCCTTGTTATACACGTGAAACAAGCTTGAGAGTTTGAGTGCAATTCCCAGTGCTGTTAAATGCTCATGGGCATACCATAAGATGTTACCTCAAGAGCCAGAACTGACCTTACTGCACACAACATATTCTGCTGCCCTCCTCGCTTCTGCTCATGAGTGACCACCTTCAAGACAGGACCCCCACTACTCGCAGAGTGGGCGATGCCTCCCTCGGGTGACTGTCCCTGAGCCCTCCCTGCTCCCAGTCACACACAGCAGCTTTGTGCTAGTGCCCACCGCAGCTGGGGCTTACACAGACACTACGGCACCAGCTGGAAAATACATAAAGTGTCTGGAGCTGTCTTTTAATGTAATTCAGTAAGTGGAATAAGGGAACAAGGGAAGCAGCACAAACAAATTCCTCTTCTCATATCTTAAACAGTCCTGTCCTCTCAGCCAGTGCCTTGCAACCAGCCTGGTGTCAGTAGGGCACCCGCCAAGTGCTCCATGGGCCATCGTCTGGGTTGTGGAGCTAATGTCACACTGATTTCTTGCACTGGGCAGCAATGGAGCTGCACCCCCAGAGAGCAGGGACACAAAAACATCTTCTCTATGTGTGAGCTGCACAGTTCACGACTCTTGTGCATGGTGTATGAAAGACACTGGTCCATGCAGGAGCCATTACGCTTGTGCACAGAGGACTCCAACCTCTGCAGGAGAGGAGTTTGGACCTTCCTCAGCATTAGGATACCGAATGAGAGAAGATGGATGAATCGTGCTCACACTGGAGGTACTGGCTCTACCAGCTTTGGACCCTCGAAACATGCTGCTGGCTGGACATGTGCCTTCAGGAACGGGACTTGGATTATAATTGGTTTAATGGCAACATGAAAAGCCATTTTGAGGCCCTGGGAGAATATTGCTGCTTTGATGGTGCTGCATGGATGCAGTGTGTCCCAAGTGGCTCCCTCTGAAAGGATTACCCCAGGCTAGCAGGGGTGTGAGAGACTTGTGTGAGGATGCGGTGGTCCCCTGGCAGGGGTGCACCTTACAGGAAGACTCTTATGTGATGTCTGTGGAGGGTCTTGAGAGCGAGAGGCTGCACAGCTGGGTGGGCAGCTCTTGTTCAGCTTTCCCCCGATGAGCTGGGGAAGCTCGCCAGCCCTGGCTGGCACCGCAAGGCCTGGACACAGACATACTTTGAGTGTGACCTTGGAATACCTGGGCCACCAAGCAGGGCAGGCACGTGAGATACCCATGTGCAGTGTGCAAGCTACCTTCCCCTTGGGCCCCAGCACTACCGTGCCCCGCTGTGTGCATGGGCTCTCCCAGCACCCAGGATGATGCTGGCTGCATATTGCTGGACCCCAGGAGAAATAGGCACAGCCTCCACACTGCCGGCAGTGTCGGCGCAGCGTCCAGTTGGGCAAGACACGAGCGCCCCGTGCCGAGGCAGCCAGCGCTGCAGAAATCCAGGTGCTTGCAGCAGCCCACCCTTCTCCCTCTCCTTCAGGGGCCCGTGTGGAAGCACACGGTGAGGGCTGCTGTGGCTCATGATCTGTCACTGCAACAAACCCACAAGGGGTATCTTTAAGCAGAATGAAAAGTGCCAAATACTTTGTGTTTGTAAGTGCTTACACTCGCCTCCAACTCTGGCTGTCTGATGTTATTTGTTCAGACAGAAGCAGCGTCTCACGAGCTCTGCCGCCCCACCAGGCCACGCAGGGCTTCGGTCCAAGCCCAGCTCTGGTTACGGTGCAAAGCGCCTGGGTGGGCACGGTCACTGTCCCGAGGGGCACAGGCCCTTCTGCCAGGGGCCAGGAGCGCAGAGTGATGTGAAGCCCTGGGGGGGCACGGCCAGCCAGGATAAATGTGGGGGAGGTTCCAGCCAAACCCTGCCATGCAATGGGGGTGAGCAAGGACACAGCCCCATGGGTTCCCAGGCCCCAGCTCCTGCACCTGAGACCTGATGCTGCCCTGCCCACCAGGTATGCTCAACCTGCCAGGGGGAGCACTCGGTCCTCTCCACTCCCTGCCCACCTTCACTCCACTGAGTCCCCTCCAATGGCTCGGCCGACACTTCCTCCCAACACAGAAGTGCTGCTGGGTCAGGAAGAGTTAACCCACCGTTTTTGCACAAGAAAATGAAAATCAAAGGAAAGCAGAAGACTTACTGAGAGGCCTTGTTCCAGCGAGTCCGTGTTCACAATAATGGGAGCGGGGTTGGCCTGCGTGAGACAAGGAGACAAAAACCGGAGTATCACACATCTGGACACCGAGACACAGTGCTGCAAAGCCCCCCGCCGTTCTCCTCAAGACTCGCCTGCTGGAAACCCAGCTGATTGCTACTGGACAGATGACAGGGAAATAAAAGAGGCACCATCCCTGTACCTGGGCTCTCACCCCCCTTGGATGGATGCTCCCCGCAGCCCCTGACGTGTGGGCACGGCATCTCCCCCAGACCTAGCAAGATTTCTATGGGCAGGGCCAAGCCACTGCTGGTGCCACGGGGAGCCTTGAGGCTGTGGGAAAGCAAGGGAGGAAGGGAAGGATGCTCTCCAGGACCTGTGCCAGCATCAAGACAGGTATCTTAGCTGAAACCCAGGCTACAGTGAGCCTGGCAGACAGGAGAGGGAGAAAGGAGCTAGCAACAGATGGTGAGAGGCAGCACCATTGCATGGTCCAGCAACCAGAGCTCATGAGCGAGCCGCTGTGCAACCCAGGCCTGGCTCCATGCAGGATGTCCGCCGTGACCTGCCCGAGCTCCTTCTCCTCGGGAAACGGTGGTGGGGCCGTTGGGGCCGGCCCCCAGACTCTGGGGAAAGGGAGCTGCAAGCATCAGTCCCCTGACGCGTGCACAGCCCATGGGAGCATGCGGAGAGACGGCCTCTCCCCTGCTCCTCAGCACCATTGCATGGGTGAGGCCAGCACCAGGCCGCAGCATCCCGGAGGTCGGGGACACGGCCCGGAGCTGCTATTGCCCAGCCTGCGGCGTGTCCCAGCTGGGCGAGCCCCAGGTGCAGCATCCCAACTGGGGCTGTGCTCAGTCCCCTCAGGACCACAGGCCTCTCCGTCTCCCCGGGCACTGCGAAGCCCTGCTCTTTCCCACGGCTGCACTGTCCGAGCAGGTCCCGCTTGGTTCCTGCACCTGCTTTTGAGCCGTCTCTGCCACCTGGCCCCTTCCCAACCGTCTCCTTTCCCCTCAAACAAACAGCCTCTCCGATTTCCCTCACGCAGCTCCCCTCCCCAGGCGCCCTCGGCTGCTGGCATGCAGCTGGACCGAGTCAAGTCTCGCCACACGAGCTGGAGGAGGGAGGCAGGGCTGGTCCGGACGCTGGATGGGAGATGGCCACGGCCAGTGCAGCTGCTTTGCCTGTCGCTGCCTTCAGAGACCACAGCTCGGGGAACACGCTGCCTGACGTGGCCAGCGCAGACGGGCACAAGCCCCCGGGGGTGAACGTGGGCAGGGTGTGATCAGTGAGAACGACGAGGGGCGGCCCAGCGGCGTCCCCGGGCAGGGCAGGGCCCAGGGGGGAGAGAGAAGCACCGAGGGGAGAAGTGAGCGCCCGGGAGAGGATGCCCTGCAACGTCCGGGCAGCGAACAGGAGCAGGCCCGGGTGGAAGATCTTGACCTAGCGACCGCACCAGGCCAGGACGGTCATTCCCAGCTCCTGCACTCGCTGTCTCAGGGAATCACCAGGGCTCTGCTCTCGGCTCAGAGTCCAGACAGCGAAACTGGAGTGAGTGCAGGGAGCAGCCCCCGCGCTGTTGACTTCCATCCATCCCCAGGACTTCTCGTCCGTCCGAGGGGCCGAAGCGGCAGCGCGGGGCCAGAGTGAGGCTGGTGGGGAGCTGTCCAGCGGGAGCGGGGCAGCCACGAGCCCAGCCCGGGAGGAGCGGTCATGCCCGAGGCCCTGCCACTCTCACCCAGGCCCTCTGCCACGCCTGCTGGGGAAGAGGTTGCAAAAGCAGCTCTGCAACATGCTCTTTTTGCATGCGCCCGGTCACAAAAACCCACCAAACACCCCCAAGAGCATGAATTTGCTGGCGATGTGACAGTGTTTCCCATGGTGAGGCCCAGAGAGCCACAGACAAGGCCATGCCCTATTGCCCCCAGCTCAGACATCTCCAGTGTCTCAGGGGCTACGTGACCTGGCACGGGGAGGCCTCGCTGCAATGACCGCCGTTAGCCAGACCCATCTGCCCCCTCACCTCCCTGCCCCCTGCCTGCCCAGTACGTCCTGGCCACAAACAGGCTGGGGGTTCTCTGAAGAGCACGTGTGCACCTTTGCTTCCAGTAAGACAAGCTGGTTTGATTGGGACTAGGTGGCAGTAAAAGGGAGAACAGGTGTTTTCCACAAGACCACTCTCCTCACAAAACACGGCCTGTTTTAACCAAAGGACAGAGGTCGGAAAGTTCCTCACAAGTTCGAGCCCTGTGCAAACCCCTCTGGCCTTGATGCTGGTCTCATGCACAGGACAATACGCCTATTCTACCAGGCCCCCCTTGCTGCTGTCTTCAAACACAGCTTTTGCACATTTGTTTCCACCACATCGTTATAGTCCCCCCTTGGACACTGCGCCCCCAAGAATGGGTTGCCTTGCACCCCACTTCTTCCAAAGCAACAGGTTCGGTAAGAATGGAAATGATCCTCCCCTCTCAGCATCAACCCTGCAAAGCAATGAATGGCCGGGAGCAGGGAGACTGGAAACACGTTTTCATAACACTCACATTCACCCGTTTTCACAATGCAGGAACAAAGGAACATTCAATGAGATGTGAAAGGTCACAAATACAAAACGGGTAAAGAACATTACTTTTCAGGGTGCACAACTGCATGATGCTCGTTGCCACAAGGTAGCAGCAAGGCCACGAGTTTAGCAGGATTTAAAACATGGCTCCCATGCCTGCGTCAACAACAGTAAATATTAAAAAAAAGAAACAAGGGTTTTGGAAGGAAGGGACAACAAATCTGCCTCAGGGCATCAGAAACCTGTCATGGTGGGGGCTTGGTGGGATTTCCCGCTGAATTATGGACTATTACCAAAATGGCTGGGTAATGTTGCCTGGCCTGTGCTATGCAGGAGTTCAGACTAAATCATCAAAATATTCTCTTCTGGCCTAAACCTATGAATCTAGTAAACCTTCCCGAGGGACGTATGATCACACTGCTGTGCACTTCAGAGTTTCTTGTACTTTCCTTTGAAGCAGCCGGCTCTGTAGCAGCCACTGTCAGAGGCAGCAGCACTAGCATGTTCCCAAACAGCCGCTCCTACGTTTTCGTGTGGCATTTCTGTTGTTTCTGAACGTCTAACTCCTTGTCTGCACTTAGTCAAAAGGACCGAGATGCTGGTCTGACTCTGGAAGGCTCTGATCACGAGAACGAAGCAGAAGGGGAGTTAATTAGATTTTTTCAGATGCTTTCTGATCTTTCCTGCAGCCATGACTATTTGCTACAAAACGATGGCTTTTTATGCAAGCTAATTCCAACGGCTCAGGCAAATAGGGCCATTCGCAAATGCTCCTGCAAAACTCCTCCCGCATATGGAAGAAGAAGAGTATTACAGTGGTAAGGTCCTGGGAGCACCCGGGAGCACCCGGTGTCAAGCTGGGCACCTGTCCTTTTTGGCTGTATGAAGCTCCTCGAGGTAGTCCGATCAATTGTGAGACAGCAAACATTGCACTGGGCACTGGGCCAGGCCAGGCACTGCATATTCCAGGCCAAGGCCAGTCCCATTCTGGGAGGACATCTCACATTCCTGGCAAAAAGGAAAGAGTTTTGTAGCTCGTGGTTACAAACCCATGAAGGGCCAAAGCTTCTCAGGAGCTGGGAGTGGTAAAGGCCATTTCGGGTGGGCAGAACACAGAAGAGCCGACGGTGAATGCGGTTCCCTGCGGGGGACAGGAGTTTAGCACACGATGATCACTACCTTGCATCGCCCGATTGATGCCTTTGGGTTCTGCTGGGGGAAGCCACAGAAGCTCATCCAGCTTCGGTCCCCGCACAGCCCACCACGGCCTCTTTGCTGTGTTACTAACAGCCCACAAACCGCACGGCGCCTGCACAGCGCTAAAGCCCTCAGGACACCCTTTGTCTCGCCTGCTCACCGCGCTGCTCCACGCCGTGCACGGAGTATCCTTCCCTGCCATTCCACACTATTGATTTTCATGTCTGAAACTATGGCTGGGAGCACAATTTTCCA